AACAACCAATTCCGTTAAATTTTCCGTTAAAACAAGAATTTCTGTTTCATAGATACTTTATATATATATTTGGTTCTTGGTTCAAATAATTAAAATCATTAGTTTTGTTTTTTTAGAACCAAATCGAACTTTGAATTTGGTTCGAATCCGATTTGATTTGATCACTTTGTCCACCACTAATTTAATAGAAGAATTATGGAAAAGAAAAATAATAAATATTTAAGGTGCACTCTTGAAATTATCAAAACAATAATGGGCTGTTTGAAACAGTATATTATTGCCAAAAAGAATTTACAAATTTTCATTTATTATATTGTTTAGTTTTATTAATTATTACATTCCAAAAGCACTCTAAAAATATTAGTCATGTTTACATTTTAATTATTTCTCAAGGAGACATCAAGTCAAACCACATGTAAATAGTGCAATATATAACATTTCAATTCTGTATTAATGAAGAAAACCATGTCAAATTGTGTTATAGACCACTATCCGTTTTCTATTCCGTACTATTCCATTATTTAAAATTATTTTAAGGATGTCACTATTTCTAAATAGGAAATGCCTTGCATTACAAACACAGTTACAATCAGAATTATGATGCTCAAATGCCAGGGCACCTTCTTGACAACATATTCAAGTTTAGACCAATAAAATGAATCTACAGAGTCCAACAAAAGGAAGGAAATGTGATTAAACGAAAATTTTCAAATCTAATGATATTTTTGTGCAGACGTACCTCTATACAACAAGGGAAAGTTTGGTACACAATGTTGTATTAGAAAATACCAGACAATACAACTAACAAAATTTTAGTTTCTTTTTATTCCTTAATTCTACCTCGTATTGTCGAACCCTCTTAACCAAACATGCACTAAGGGACCAACATTCTTAAGAACCTCAAAAGATTTGGATAATTTGTATTTTTTACTAAATCGAATCAAGCTTTCTCTTTCGAGGGAGGTGATATCAGATGATGCAATGTACTTGCTTGGATAACAGCACTAGGATTCGTATCTCTTGTGCGGGCCGAGACCGATTGCCTGATGCCAAAATTCCTCTCCGTCACACTTCTTGACAAATGTTGCCATGGCTTTGGGAGGGCTCGCACCAGCCGAGTTGAAGCTACCAGTAGGAC